TGCCCGAAGTAAAAGTACCCATTATGCAGATTGGCCAATTTCAGAATAACATTATATGTTTGAATTATAATTATTGATGCATTAAAGTGTTATCAAAGCTGGTAAAGGTGCAGTCAATTGTAATTACTTTGTCTGCTGCTGCCTGCATTTGCTTGTGAATCTTATAGCCTACATTTATTTTAGAGTATAGGCCTACTTATGGGCCTACATGTAGTGAAGTAAAAGTACACAATTTACCCTAGGTAGAAGTACAAAGTAGAACAAAGTTGAAATACTCAAGCAAAGTCCCTCAAAAGTGTACCTAATTACAGAACTTGAGTTACACCACTGTCTTTTTATCTTCTGTTTCCAATTTAATTTCCTGAAAATGTATTGGTGGTGTTTAATATCAGTTTGGCAGTTCTTTTCCTTCATGTGATAGACGGTTCCGGTGGTGCTGTCTTGACACAGGCGGTGGAGACGGTTAGCTTCAGCCTAAACCTTGCGAAATGCGAATCCTGGTCATTATACAGTTTACCTATTTTATATGTTATATGTTCTTCGCTTTCTTAATAACATTAGCCACGGGTATGCTTAATGTCAGGAGTTACTTACCAAGGTTTGTTCAACATTTAAGGCGGTATAGCCGTGAAGCTGAAGTCCAGACTCCTCGGGGTTTGTGTGCAGTCACCGGGACTAGGCTAGTTGCTGGATGGTAAGTGAATCTTAAATCTTAAAATAGTTTGACTACTTGTCAAAACACACTGTCTTTGTTTTTATGTTTCAAAGCAACATATTTGTGTTTTGTTTTTAATTGTTACACAACAGGTGATTTTACATCATTTACGGTGCTGGGAAGTAACGGAAGTTATAAAACAAGTAATGAAACGCGTTACTTAGTTTTGCTGCTCAGCGTTAGTTATGAGTAAAGTGATGTTAACCTTTCCAATGAATATGGCCTTATGTGTAAAAAAGCAAACTAATGTATTGGTTGGCTAGCTTGCCCAACACTGGAAACCATTGGTTTAATAACAGTACAAAATCAGATAAATTAAATCAATATAAAAAAGCACAATATCCTCTCTTCAAGTGCAGTAGCCTACTGGAGTATTTTAGTTACTTTTCACAACCAACTTTTCTCCAGACTTTTATTCAGAGAAAGTCATACAACATTAAATCAGTTTTGTAACTGGTAAACATTTTAGTCTACAGTTTGTGCCGACTGTTGCCTTTTGGCGAAATCTAATTTAATTTCCTTTTCAGGGCATGACATAGGCTCCACTAATGATACAAGGTTAATTCGAGGATATGCATAGCTCAGTGAGTATCACTATTAATTTACTCATCCTTGACGGGAAGTGCTGGGGGGGCATCAGGTGTGCCTTCTGCGCAGCCCTTCCCTTCAGAGCGGTGTGTTAATGCAATGTGAACATGCAATGTGAACATGCAATCCTAGACACTGACCCAACAATTAAAAGGTGCACCATGTGGTTTCATATCAGTACTTCATATCAACAATGCATGTGGGCGACTGCTTCAACACTTACAGGCAGCTAGTTAGAGCGATAAATCGCACCCTGTCACTCAAACACTCAGCAGTTTGTCTGCATGCAGGCAGATCTTGTATACTCTTAACAGCAAGAAATAAGGCACACATTGAACTTATTCATGGTTTGTGGTGTGAAAGCATACAAGAAAGGAGTTTGTGAGTGGTGGATACAGTAGACAGACAATACACAATTTAAAGACAGACAGCAATCATATCAGATAGCTAGCTAGTCAGTCCAGACAGACTTCTACAGCGGTGAAAGCTGAGGCAGATGCCAAATCCTCCCTTTGTGACATAACTAGATGTTTCAATTTATGTGGATTTATATGGACGGACGGTCATACTATTGGGTTAATACTGTATTATGAGGAGCTCTATTTCAATTACACAAACAGAGTCAGTAGGCCACTAACGCTGGGCCGCCTCTCTCCCTCTCTATCATTCTGTCTCATCTTAGTCCAGGCCATCTGTTACAAACACAGCTCAAATCTGTGGTATGAGGCTGACATATAAGTTACCTCTGTTATAGACTATTACTGACACACACCTCGCAGTAAACTAAAGCCAATGGGAGATGAGCGTGAACAGGTGCAGCTCTTTCCATCGTGCAGTCAATTCCTTTGAAAATAATTTGCGTGCTGACTGCTGAAACCCTCTCAAGTGTTGGATAGAGGATGTAGGAGCAGGAGCTATGTATAGGCAGACACATAAGAATACACACTCACACAGCTACACGCATACACACTTCAAGAGAGTTTCATCGAGTCATCAAATTAATGCCAGCCCACTCTGATCTGAAATCCACTTAATAGATGGAGTTAATTCAGCTTTTCCAGACTCGCTCACTCACTGCACTTTTTAAGACATTTCCACAAAGTGTGTATCGTTAACTGCAAACACATTCATTGAGGAGGTTGTGGAGACATAAGGGGCACTGATAACAGTACCGGAGAGGGGACAGGGGTCTCGTGCTGTCACATCTGTGAGATTATGAGTGACATGAAGGCCCGGGAGGGGGTGCCAAATACATAGGCAAAGAGAAACAAGTTATGCAAGTTATTATTCATTTGTCTCCCACATTTCCATATTCTTTTGTTGCCAGAGCTTGTTAGGCCGCGGCACGCACCTGGCACTTCCATGCCAACTAAGTCTTATCTGAAGTGCTTCCACAGTGGCACACGCAAGCATCTGCATAAACACATGCAAACATAGAGATGCACTCAGACACAACACACAAACTAATGCACACAGGGCGGTAGAAGTAAAGGGGGAAAAGTGGTAATTATTCTGAGGCTCCCAAGCTGTAGGTGGTTTCCATAAAAATGTTGAATGAATCAGACTTTCTCGTGGTGTTTGGGCCTTTCGTGCCACAGCTTCACAGATTTGCCAAAGTACCCAGCATTCCCAGAGAGCGACATTCTTAGAGCTCTTTAACAGAAGCATACCAAGTGTCCATCCTTCACTTGTGGGCTTATTATGAGCACATGATGGGAGCGCTGTGCAAACTCCCAGTCCTGCTACCCTTGCACACACACACACACACACACACACACACACACACACACACACACACACACCATTTTCAAAATAAAGTAAAAGTGAAAGTCTTACCTTCCTCAGCTGAGTTAGGCTGGAAAAACAGACAGAGAGACAGAAAGACACTCCACATCTCCACGACAGAATGACACTGACAGAGAGAGGGAGGGAGAGAGCATGAAAGAAGTAGATAGAGTGAGTGTGTGTGACAGAGTGAGCGAGAGAGAGAGAGAGGGAGCAGGGGGTGAGAGAGGGGGTGGAGTCTGTTTGCTCCCTTTATCTGAGAGAGGGAGAGAGAAAAAGAGAGGGGGAGGATGGATGAGGAAAGGCGAAAAATATTTACAGAGCAGCACATACAATAAGCGCAGTGCCAACAGAGAAGTAAACAAAACACTGTTGTCAGAGAAACGAGTGGAGAGAGAAAGAGTGAGAGTTTTTTTATATTCGAGAGAGAGACAAAGAAGGAAAGAGAGTTAACAAGAAAAAGTGTCAAAGGGAAAGGGAGGTGGAAAAATGAATAAACTAGTTAGTCCAGTCTTTAAAACAACTGTCTAGACATGTCTAACGACATCACTTCCAGCTCTCCCCTAACGCCTCACACCAATTTCAGCGGGCCGCCTGGCAGACTGTGCATCAAACTGTGGCATCCCTCAAATATCTGGACACTGTGCTAACTTGCATTTTTCAAGCTGTGGCATGTGAGAGTGCCCAATTTCTTTTCCTTTTTTTGGATCCCTCTCAGTTCTACCTTTTATGGAAAAGGAATATCATTTGGACACATTTTTGGATGCCCTCCATCCTCCCCCTCCGTCTCTCAGACACACTCCTCGCCTCCCAGGATTGCTCATCCAGACAGTTTCTAGACACGCACTCACACACAGGCATGCAAATATACAGAGCTGAGCCCCTCTGGCTCATGCACGCCACTCGCTGGTCAGACCGCAGTACTGCAGCTTGTTGATGGGCTTTCATGCCCCAGTTCACTGCATTGACTGAGACTTCAGTAGACTTTTGCAGGGAGATGTTGCCTATTGGCTTGACACAATTAGATGGCCCCATTCCCAGCCAGCCGGGGGCCCTTTACCCTGGGCTCTTTGCTCCAAGAAGCAGAGTGGAGAGGCAAATGGATCACGCCGGTCCTCCCATCATTAAGCCGGGACTTAGAACTTCTTAATCAGTTTTCAGTTGGTCCTGAAAGCACATATTCCCTGTGCCACTTTATATAAAAAGTGTCTGTTTTTTAGAGCTGAAGTGAAAGATTGATTAATCTGTTTATCAGTAACTTTTGCTCAATCTATTACTTCATTTCTTTAAAGGAAATATGGACAAACCCTACTGGTTCCAGCATCACAAATGTGATATTTTTTCCCGCTACTCTTGTTCTGCTGTTATTGGGAAATTAAGGCTGCAACTAACTCATATTTTCTATAGCATCCAATAGAAGCTTTGTCTGTAAAATATTAGGAAAGAAAAGTGTTCTGTCAGTCCAAAACCCCCCCCAAAAAGTTGATTACTCGAGTCGCAGCTCCAGTAAACTTTAGGTTTCGTACGGTTATTTTGTCACCATGTGCCCTAGGAACCAATTATAAATCATTTTGTTAAGACATTACAGTTTGTTTGGTGTCCTTCCTAAAGAAATGAATTGAACAGTATCTCACTTATCACTTCCCCCATAAAACAACAGCCACGACCTGTAATTTTAGAAGCAGCAATGTTAGTACGTCTTTTCAGGGGAATTCCTCTGAGGTAATTATTATCTCGCGTCTCTACATGTGTTCTGGTTTGGCTTTTGAAGCTGTGTGATCCAAGACGAAATCTGACCTCAAAACTCCTCCCGCATTCACTCCTTAAAAGCGTCATCACAACCATGAATACATTTCTTCTTAAACCAAACTGTTCAGCAGCAGCAGCCGCAGGGAGAAACGGAACTCTGTTCTTTAACTTATGGCTTTATTTCAATGTTTCTGAGGTTTGGTTAGCTCTACAGTGTATAACAGCACAGCTGACTGAGGTTTAGCCACGGTGCAGAAAAGGAAATGGAGTTGCCACAGTAATCACACTCTCACTTTAGCACAGAGACTGCAATCACATTAAACATTCATTGCTTTGACTCGAGCATTACAGACAGTAAAATAATTCATAATTCAAGTCACACATTCCCTTAAAGATGGACAACTTTATTTCCTTTTTTAGTTTCTCAAAGCAAGTGTCACTAATATTATAACTGGCATACATTATGATACTGTGACTCTCACGCACACTCAAGCTTTAACACCCCTGACTTCTGTTTACCATTAAGCAACACAGTGACATCCACCATAGTGACAGTGCAAGACAAATCAGTAAATGTAGCAGATTAGACGGGATTATGAGGCACAACCCAACATCCTAATGCATACATTATATTTACAGAGAAACACACAATATAAACAATTATTACAAACTAGTCCGACTGCCAAAGTGCAAATAAAATGCTGCTAAGCTCAAACATTGAAAATGTTTTCCATATGAGTGTGCCCACATCCAAGAAGAAGTACAACTGTACAAACATTGACACAACATATATAAGCATGTGTACTATGTTGTAATAGTTTATCCTGATTCAGTTACTGAAGATTCTACAATATTTATGTACATAATTTCAGAAAATTAGAAAGAACAACAATCAATAAGGCATTTTTTGTGCGTTAACTACTAAAATAAATACAATTCATTTAGTGTTATTACTCAACATTATACCTCTTGGTTAATATCATCAATGTTATATTTTCCAATATCTAATATCTTTCATGTTAGATACGTATAGTTATCAGTCGATTTTAAAGTGTTTCAATACAAAACATTTACCACAAATGACTGTTTAACACTGATGAGCACTTGATTTAATGTAACGCTATTTTAGAGATGGCAATATGATGTTGTTAGCCTAGGATGCAGAAGTTACTGCTTCATACTGATGTCAAGAGAGTTTCAAGTACAGTGATGATAAATGTAGCCACCTGAGTTTTTTATCCTAAGGTTGTAATGCTTACTGTAAACGACTACAAAATACTGGCTGAAATCGTTGAAAACGGAGGTTAGGTTGGGTTTTTTAGGAGCAGAAAGCCTGAGCAGACTTTAAGGCCTGACAGTGTTTGTTAGCCTACACCTCAACAACGTGGTTCATGCAGACAGCTGTAATTTACAGACCTGTGTTAATTATTTCTGCTTAAATATTTGTATTCTAAGTTTATAGTGCTTTCTTGCACACTTAAATGGGAGAGGGGCTGCTGTAACACCTCTATACTCACTCTGTCTACTCAAGACAACATGGCTCCCTCCCCCAGGCAGCAAGGCACATCAGGCATGCAGACAGGACAGCAAGTCAGTCGTTCTTTTTTGGGTCAAACTACCAGGATCCAAAACCAGCTTTTCAAGCTTGACCTCAATACATAAACCCCCCCAAATCCCACAACCTTTTAACATGGGGGTAGCTGAAGACCTGGGACTTAAGGCTGAACATATGTTGATCCTCTTATATGGCAGTATGCGTGGGGCTGGCAATGGGAATGTCAACTATTATTAAGTACTAGTAATTCAGTTAAGTTTGGCCCATGTTTAAAGCAGGATTACAGGGAACTCTGTCAATTATTAAAGCATGTTTGTGACGAAATATAGCTTCTTATATCTATGTGTTTAAAACCTTTTGTCTGTGTTGTGTCCGGATTTCTTTTACTTCTTCTTTCTAAGGAAGATCCACCATGGGGACCCTGCTTGTGGGGGAGGTTGGAGGACCTTCTTTTCCCTCGGTCAGGCCGACGGCCATCGGCTCATGAACCGCAGAGGGTTTTCCTGCGCTGGCAGCGAATCCCTGAGCAATGTCGTCAAAGGTCCTGCCTCTGGTCTCTGGTACTCGCAGGAAGGTGAAGATGAAGAACAGGATGAGGAAGACCATGAAGATGATGAAGACGTAAGGACCACAAAGTTCCTGAGGGAAGAAGAGAGAGAGGTAACTACATGACTCAAACTGCACATACTTCTGAAAATGTTTGCAGTGATGAGAAGTAACTAAGTACATTTACTTTTTGAGATTGACGTACTTTCTACTCCTAATCCATTATACTATCAGAGGGAAATATTCTTGTTTTTACATCACTATAATCTGTTAATAACTGTTGCCAGTTACTTTCAGATTCTAATAAATAAAAACAAACATGGGTGCGAATCTTTAAGTATGTCATGATTTGATTCAATTTGATGCATCATTACACTTTGATTCAAAACGGTTCCTGATTCAAAATGAGTTCTGTGTTGAGCATGCGGTGGTCCTCAGCGTTTAAAAATCAAGTAATGGAAGTTAGGAATAGATTCAAAATCATAGAAGATAGAAATCTTGTTCCTAACATGAAATAATGTATTCCAGCACACATATTAATCAACTATTATATATTTAAAAAAAAATATCATTATATGTGATGATACTGCTGTTTATAAAGTCAATGAAATTAGCCCGAACTCTACCACCTGCAACATTTTAGAGATGAAAAATGTATGTATTATGTATGAATTATTTTCTCCAATAATCTATATTTTCATGGTATGAGCCCTTCTGCATTATGTCTACTTTTACCTTAGGTGGCTCTACATTAAGTGTATCTTGATGTCAATACATGTAAAAGACGTAAAAAAAATTCTTACCTCAAGTTTAGGGAATCCCAGCCCCACGAGGAAGTTGGCGGTCCAGTTGGATAGACCGGAGACGGCCATGGCAGCAGGCCGGGGCCCCTGGGAGAAGAGCTCAGCCACGATGAACCAGGGGATTGGACCTGGACCCATCTCAAAACTGGCAACAAAGCCGAACACAGCCACGATGGCCAGGTAGCTCAGAGACGGGTTGGCCTTCTGCTCAGACAGAGAAACAAAGAGTGAGTACAAGAAGATGTTGTTTTCTTAAGCTCACAGAACAAGAGGTAGCAAGCAAACATCACTTACCACCAAAACCAGGGAGATCGTCATAATGAGGGCAAAGAAAGCCATTCCTGCCAGACCAATCAGATGCAAGGTTCTTCGCCCCGCCCGTTCAACCAGGAAGAGCTGGATTTAAAACAAAGAAATTGTTAATATTAATAATAATGTAAACCACACCTTTTATCTAAAGAACAAATGTTTAGTCAGACACTTACGGAAACTACAGTAAACACGGTGTTAACAACTCCAGCTCCTATGGTGGCGTAGATGGGTTGAGTGACACCAGCTGTGTCAAATATACCTGTAGAATAATAGAACACCTAATAGGAGAGAAAGACGAAGAGTTAGTATGAGTAAAGAAAAGTAACGGTAATCTTTTTCATTACAACTTAGGTTAGGTGAGGAATTGCTCTTAGGGTGCTAGTTGTTTTTGGGGATGGGTTCAGCTTTTTATTAGCCTGTGGGTCCATGTGCTTCTGAGCCTGCCTGAGGGGAGGGTGGAGATCAAGGGGTGGCTGTGGTGTGAGTGGTCTCTCATGATATTAAAGATATGGCTACAGTTGATGGCTCTCAAGTTTTGGATTTGGGAGCAGATGATTTTTGTACTTTTCGATTTAGGTTGTGGGCCATAAAACAAAAATAGTGAGCTAACTGACCCTAAAATGCTATGTAAACTTCCGAGGATTTGCAGAGTTGGGTTATAGTTACATCAGGTTTGTGACTTCAAGCAACCTCTTTCACATTACATCTAGTCATGTATTCCATTAAATATAGCTTAGTACAGTTGGTGCTACTAGCTGCTGATGAGTGGGCGGGGTCACGACTGTTGAATATCTGTCAATTAAATCGATGTTGCCGCGGGCTGCCGCAGCTTTACTGTTGATTGTCAGGTCAGAGGGGGGGGGACGCTAACACACTCAGTCAGCCTGGTGACATGACCTTATTAACAAAAACCTATCGAATACCACTTTTGTTTGTCTCTTTCCAATGACCCCACTGGCTTAAATTATTCCGCTCAATCGAACATTGCCTGGAGCAGAGTAGCGTCTCTCGTCATGTGGGTGCCAGACACATTTGTATAATTTCAGTAAATGCTCCTTTAGAGATGTAGTGACGGACACTTATCATATAATGATATCCATAACACTCTGCTCCCTGACAGGATATGGTGTTTACTCACAGCGTTGATACCAGACAGCTGCTGGGAGAGCTGCAGGATTATGGCTATGATGATTGGTTGGCGGTAGTTTGGGGAGCGGAAGAGTTCAGGGATGGTCACTTTCTTCTCCAAGGCCATCTTCATCCCTTCTTCCTTCATCTCATTAATATCATCGCTCACATCCTCACAGCCGCGCAGACGCACCATGGCTACAGAGAGAAGAAGGGATGGATGAAAGGAGAGGGAGTAAGTACATTATTGTGCAAATATGGTGTAAAGTAAGGCTGGAAGGGTCTTAGAACATTATGTTGTAAAACTTTAATAAATCGCAGGGCCGTGCTTCATCTAAGGTTCATTAAAATGTCAAGAGCAATTCTAAATTCAGTCTCATTAAAACCTGATGTTGCAATCTCGTTTGCATAACGTCTCAAAACCGACCTTTCCTGGCCTCCTCCTCCTGGTTGAGGACGATCAGCAGGTAGCGGGGGCTTTCAGGACAGAAAGGCAGCAGGATGCTCTGCAGGATGGCCGGCAGGATGGTGAGAGCCAGAAGCAGAGGCCACAGAAAGTCTGAGCCGAGCAGAAACTCCAGACCAAAGATCTGAAATGCATCAATAACACGGGATGAAGTACTTATAATGAGTTGAGCTTTAATTTGAACTCAAACAAGCCTCGCAGCTCTTCTCCAGGACACCATGTTTTGTTAAAGTCAAACCACTTTTTTTGTAGTAGTTTCTGTTCCTAGTTTTATGTTATTACATTGATATTATAATAAACACTAAGAGATGGGAGAGATTTGAGTATGCTCTGAAAAATATGGTTAAAATAATACTTTAAAAAGGGATAGGTTCTATTTCTACAGTATAATCTGAAAAGATGCTTTTAATATTATTAGCTAATAATATGTTTATATATTGTACAGCTTCCCAACAGACTAAAAATATTATTTGTACTAAAAGAGAGCTGATAATGTTGTTTATTGTCCGTAATGTGTCCTTATGATGATCTGTAGGTCACATGACAGCATCTAACGCTTATAAAAGTTTTGAAAAACATTTATGGGGTGAAAAATAATAATGTGAAAAGTTTTGCAACACATTGATTTTGAGGCACTTGCTTGAATTCTTCAAGCAAAGCTGATTCACAAATTCACGTTTTTCTGCAGAAATCCAGAGCTTTTGCACAATAAATAAAAAACAAAACAAATGTATCTCAGTACCGCACAATCACCACATCATACCTGTGCCACCAGGATGCCAATCACCACACCCAGCTGATGCAGCGTGCCGAAGGCTCCTCGGAGAGCAGTGGGGGCGATCTCACCCACGTACATGGGTGTCAGCCCCGTGGAGAGACCGCAGAACACACCGATGATCAACCGCCCCACGATGACCATCTCGTAAGAACGAGCCAGGGCCGACAGTCCCATGAAACCCCCCCCGATGATAGCCAGGATGTTAGCAAGCAGCATGGACTTACGCCTGAAGAAGAGAGACAAGGAGGGAAGAAGGACATGGTTAGTGGGTGAGTACTGCAGATGATGTTGACCAATTACATATAATGCAAACTTTTCTATCACAATTTCACAGACTCAAAGGAGAAGTTTTCACATCTGATTTTGTCAAACAAACAGTCCAAAACTGAAGATAGGCTTTAAAACCAAATTGTGGAGTTTACAATAAGGAAAAGTGTATTTAAAAACTAGTAAGGGTTCGGTTGATTAACTGCCATCATACATGAAACCATTTACTGCACCATACTGTTTACTCCCGATGTTCTTACCTGCCAAATTTGGTGACAACGGCTCCGACAGAGAAGGACCCGACCATGCCTCCCACGCTGAAGATGGCGACTGCAAAGCTCCACACCATGGTGTTGGTTCCTGGGCTGAAAGGCTCCCCGTACCGCTCCATCGACACATTCTGGAAAAACCTACGCAGTTTCTGTCAACCCACAGAAAAAGAGAGATGAATGGCTGCATCGAAGTAAGCGTTTGTCAAAGTTCACAATCAAAACTATTCATTTTGTGTGTAACTGATGTCAGAGCTCATGCTTCATTGGGAGTTTTTGACACATCCACATGAGGGCAGTATAGCTTTTAGCATTGCCACCTTGCAATGCTGTGGTCACAAATGAGAGCAGTCTTATCGTGTCCAGCACCCTAACTGTATCTAGGCTTCTTTGCAAAACCACATCCGAACAGCAACATGAAAGTCCTAAAACGAGGCCCAGAATTGGCGTTAAAAAAGTGTCATTTAAGTTATTGCAATATTAATATCCCAAAACAGGGAGAAGATATAAAATGGCATCTATTATTCATCTCTCTCATAATAGTTGTCCCCGCTGTCATAAAACATTAAAGGTCTATTACACAATTCAACTGACACACACACACACACACACACACACACACACACACACACACACACACACACACACACACCTGCTCTGGTGCGTTTATGACCCCGGTGTTGTAGCCAAACTGTAGCGAGCCGATGACAGCTGTTGAAACGCTGAAGAGCAGGTAAAGGGTCACCTTCTTCGGCGGCTGTTGAGAGAGAAAAAGTCATGAGCGATATGAAGGATTAAAACAATGAGCGGATGGAGTTTATGGACAATCCCCCCCCTCAGTTTGTGTGGTGGACATGTCCTGTCCCTGGCTCTACAAAGCTCCTGTTGTTTATATTGACACTGGTAACTACAAACACAATGAGTCCCTGTTTTCAGTTGTCTGTCACTTGTAGCACTGTGAAAGCTAGGTTTCACAACACTGCACAGGATCCATGATTTTGCAGCTCTGAGGTATTTCTCGGCTAAGAAGCTAAAGAAACCCAGAGAGAATAAATGAATCCTATTGTGAGTGCTTTTCCCTGCAGGGTTCAAATTAAAGTGGGCTTAGCTCATAATAACAAGCTAATACACCTGACGATAATCCCTCGTGTGGCACGGCATGTAGGAGTTTGCCATTTTTTACAGTTCCAACAGAGCAGAACTGAGAAATGGGTTTAAGTGAAGTTGTGGTTCCAAGTCTACTATGTGGCGGCACCATGCCAAATGAGGAGCCTAGTTACTACATCTCTTTACATTAACCGCATTACAACAGCTTTCTGGGAACCCCTACAAAGGTCATTATTTGCTTTCCAAGTCTACTGATCCAGACAGGATCATTAATGAAAGGAAATCCATTTTAATCATCCAGTGTTTTCCAAATCCGCCCCTGTTTCGACACTATAAGACGAGTGAATCATTCATGATTAATACATTGTTTTACACAACTTGTAATCCTAATTAAGTCAGCAAACAGACACAAAGACAGGCACAATGAGCTCTGTCCCAATGTTTACATGATATAACTATCTGCACAGATAACTCTTCAAACGTCACAAAACAGTGCGTTCATTGAGGGAAATCAAGAGGCAGTTGAAAGACTCTCCCCCCTCTAGAAACAAACCCTCTGTCCTTTAATCTGATCAGCTATTTGATTTGCTGATGTAACCGGTGTGGTTAAGCGGTCTCTACGTTGTGTTGATAATGGACGAGACCCGAGCCAGCGTAAAGTTGAGGCGATCTCTGTTTAATGACTGACAACAGATAAAACGATCAGCTTTACATAAATTCATAAAATATATAGGGGGGAAAGTCCTCACAACAAAAAAGTCCTGAGCACAGCGACCTTGCCAGGTATTTAACATTCAATAAAATGAAGAACACAGAATAAAATAATATAAAACACAGAATTTGTGTGATTATACAAAAACAATTAAATAAACCCCACTGCATATTTACATCTGTTACACTGAGAACTCAGGCTTCCTTATTGATAACAAAACTACCAACAATGGGCTTTAAGTACATCATGTTTATATCTGTTCCTATCAGATAAACCCACCCACAGGTCAGAATGAAACACAAAGGAGGAATTGAAAAATGACTCAGTGGACAGCAACACATAAGCAGATAGTGATAATCAGTTGTAATCAGGTCACTGCGTGTTTCTCTGGGACATCATGGCCTTGTCTCATATTCTTACACTAAATCAAGCCGAATATACTTCTGTGACGACATCTTGACGGTTTGACACACAGGAAGTGCTGCAAACACGATTATTTGACAGTGAAGGGGAAATAAAGAGGACTGGTAATAAAGAAAACAGTTACGTTTAAAGGGAGACACAAAAAAAGTGATAAATAATTACATATAACAACAAATTCCATGTCATGTTTGACTTTTGGCACAGATGACCTGGAGGGGTCTCTGGGGTGTAGCGCTGCACGAGAGGGGATTTGATGAGGATAACTGCATGTGGGGGTGTGGTTGTTTGTGTACAAATGTGTGTGGTTGTAGACATGCCAATTGCATCTGTAGTGACATGCTGATGTTGAGTAAGACTTAGACAAAACGTTCGCATTGTTAAGCCTCTTGCTAAAACAGTTATTCTAATTAAGGAGTGGCCCACTGCGCAATGTGCATTATAGGTACTTTAAGAATTGAATACGGCAGATTAAGAGGTTGTACCAGCATGCACAATTTCCTGCATTTGCACACTAAGGAGCATAAGCCAAGCCAATCATCATTATCTGCAACCGTGTACTACAATATACAGTTTTTTGTTGTAGCAACATGACATTCTGCTTTAAAAAAGTCATGATTAATATGTTAACCAATACAAATACATTTACAAGTGGTAAAAGTATATACATATTTGTACACGCACAATTCAATGACGTAATTCTTATGAATACCATGGAATATTATAAAATGCTCAAAAAAAGGTTTTAAAGGGATCTATTAAGGTTATTTTCTTTGGAACTTTAAACCTCAGTACCAATGCTTAATTCTCATAAAGTTGTGTTTCATGTATACTTGGTTTGGTTCATTGTGTCATTATTAATCATCATCACTCTCGAAATCCGGAAGAAAGACTCATTATTGACACACCTTTCCTTCGACACTCAAACGACACATTTAACTTATCTACATCCCATCCTCTGTGTTTATTCAAAATATCTCGCAAAGGCCGTTTTAGAAAGTAAGTTTTCTTTCTCCCTATGTTTTAATATTGCATCAAACTTTCGTATGTGTCTTCATCATTAATGTGACAGCAGTTCCATTTCACCTTTTCTGCAGTATCATTTATTAGTGTAATTTCATCAGAAAGGAAAGATATTTATTTTATTTTTTACATTTCTGGTTACACAAATTTTGTGCTATAATCTTTAAGAATGACTTTTTAGAGTGCATGACTTTTTTGTGGCTTGGGGGGGGGTAGTTGCATCAACACACATGATGTGTAAACCTTAAGAAACAGCCATGAAATGTGTGTAACTGTTTCAAAAGCCAAACCACAGGGAAGGTTTGTGAGGACAGATACTGTAGCAGGCACATTTTGGTCTTTTTAGATACTCTTTACAATACTAAAAGATGTAATGCAATCAATTCAAAGTTCACCCTTTGAGTGATAACACTAACTGTGTAGCATGGTATCACTAAAGTGTTAACTATATTTGGGCTGTTGCAAGTTGTCAGTCTTTGCTGCACTTTTACAGTTCTTTCTTCATATAACTGGTACGATTCCCTCATGCCTTTCTAATGCACACGCAGATGAAGTAACACCAAAACCCAGAACGAGTCTAAACTTGCCACCCTGCCTTAGTCATCTCCTGAATTCTCGTATATCACTCCCATCTCATGCCCCTGCCAGAATGGAAATATACAGGTTTTCCTCTTACTTTCAATAACACTCTTAATTATGAGGACGTGTTGGCACAAAACAGGCTCAGAATTAAACAAACCAAAAGGACTGGCGCTCTTCCTCTGGGACTGCTGGGAATTATAACTAAAAGCTTGTTATAATGTGTTTCTACCCGAGAAGAATACTGCAGAATATGTACGGCAAACTCATCTGTGCAGGTTTTTAGAGGTAAAACAGTTTGGAAAATAACAGAACAACACCACTAACCCATGAATCCAATAGAAGTAAGAAACAGTTACCTTTTCGTCTTGCATCCGCTCCATCTTTGCGGCTCACAGAAGAAGATTCAGATGAAGAAAACTACAGGAACTTTTCTTCTTATTCCTTATGCACAAAACCTCACCTCTGTGCAAACAGTCCTCAGAAAACCTGAAAATAAACAAACAAAAGAATAGTGTATTACATTCAGTAACTTGATACAGAACACATGTTTTAACAATCTAAAGAACTCTCATAAAGTTCATACCGATAGACCAGTAGACCTAATGGATCAGGCAGAGTGGAGCACTTTTCGGCACTCACTGAATTCAACAGGAGTCAGTATCCAAAATGACAGTAACCCCTCCCTTTGCTTCCGTGTTCACCCTCCTCTTCTGCTCTCACTAATCATGAAATCAAATGAGGAAATAAGTGATGTAACTCCTTGTGTTCAAATTAAATTACTCAAAATACCTTCTCAATGGGCTGCAGAAACTTCAATATTATTTGATGATACTCTAATTAACTGGATTTCGTTTCAAACAAGATTGATTACGTAAAGAACGCTACTTTAATCCGGAATCATGTGATAATAATAACATAGAAATATAATCGAAATATGAACACATTTGTTTGACAGTGACAAAACCGCATGATTAAAATGAATGTTCGTTTACCGTTATGTGGGACATGCCAGCCTCTCTGTATCTTCAATCAGACAAGATGTTTTTGCTCAGAAAATGTTCGGCCCACCCACTTCATTGTTGTCTTTATAACAAGTGGTACATGTTCACTTGCACGCCTCAGCCTTATTCTTTTAACTATTACGCGGGAAGCTCCCCAGTCATACCCATGTGCGTAAAAAGCGCATGCAACATTTCCAGAACGGCTGATAAATTTCGGGCTCTCATGTCGTAATGGCCGTGAAAGCAGCGCAGATGCAATATCCGCTCAGATGAAGAAGTGGGCGGGGGGGCGGTGGACGTGCTCGGTCGAGCGTACAGTACGGAGCGGAGATGGGGAACAAACGGAGCCGGTGAAAGGAGGCTCTGTGCTGCTGCTGGCCCGACGGCTGCCCACCGGGGGCGCGAGAACAAAAGGCAATGTGCACGGAGTTCAGATACAAAGCCCGGTCATGCAGAAATCATAAGACCGGCTCAGTGGGTGGCAAACAAACGAGGAGACCAACTAAATCTTCATCAACTATGTCTAATCTTCACAGCCCACCTAAATCCCAGTCTGGAATTTGACAACTTCTCCGAAAAAATGCGAGTGAGCCAAGGGCATTTCTAAATCCACTTGGTGAACAGGCTGGGTGCACATTTGAATGCTTTTAATAAAAAAAATATTATTTTTTACGTTTTTTCATTTAATTAGAAAGCTTGATCACAAGTTTGATCCTAGATTTGTATGATAATTCAGCATTTAGCGTAAATATAAAGATATTTTGTTCTAGTTTAGAAAAAGCTGTATTTATTAATTTTCAAAGGGTCAAACAATCCTGTGTAAGACCATGATTATAAAATATACCCTGTGGTTTGGTAATCTTGAAATGTAATACAAAAATCTGAATTTTCTGACCCAGTTTATACTGTATACCAGCATAAAAACATTACAGTCACTCAGGTACACAATCAATTCGTAGAGTTGTAGAAGGATTATTTTTGCATAATGTAGTCAATTCAAATATTTAAAGCTGGAATTAGCTCCCAGTTCGAGGACATGGCCTCTGTGTCCTTAGTAGCAGCTATAGTGTGTATAATTAACCCCCTTTAAATATGCGGTGATAAATTATGGATTAGTTATGAGTTTAGGTTTTTACCAATCAAACTCTCACCTACCCGTTCAATTCAACACTTTGAGGTGGTTCTCTAGTATTTTGTCATGCATGTAATTATGTGAACTATAGAAGATAAATAACAATCCATGTTGGACACAAATATGTATTCCTTAACTTAATGAGTGCAAACTAGATACATTTTGGCATTGACATCCAAACTAAAAACTGTTTTATCAAGTATTTACTTACTCGTTTATGCTCCTATTTTGATAAAGTGTCTCCAGTTAGAGTTTTTAAAACAGCATCTGACCTCATTGAGAGGAGTGTATTTTCACATTACATTCTGGTGACAGCTATTTCAACTTTTGTGATCAATGTAAAAACGAAACATATTTCATCAGAATTCAGACAACTGACTCATGCATGCCTGGAAATGAGCCACTTTGGTGAAAAAAGGAAAGAGTAAACAATTAGTTCCTGGAGATATTCAAAGCATGATCAAACCTCGACCAGTGGTGGAAGTTGTAAAAATACTTAAAGCATTAATGTAGTCATTATGCCGAATTACACATTTCAGAATAGTATACTGTATAACTATAACTAGAGATGCAGTAATGTGTTTACTACTCTAATTTTGTCGGCGGTTATAGGTTTTACTACATATTCTACCAGGTAGTTTTTGAAATCTAACAATATATTGTAAACTATTTGAATATATTCTGATTACTAATCTAAATCTGTAACTAAAGGCATCAAATAAATCAAGTGGAGTTAAACACAAGCTTTCAGCTGAAAAGATAGCAAAACATTTAAATACTCAAGTTAACTATAGAAGTCACTTAAAATGATAAAGTACTTGAGTAGTAACTTACTTTCACCCTGTAGGCATCCTACATCATGAAAACATAGATTTACACATTTATATACAATATTAATATACCTCAAAGCCATAGAGTGAACTTTTTGAGCATAATAATGTTCACTCACATTTGATCTTTTTGAGAAATCTACTGCCAAACTATATCAAACATTCCCTGAGGCCTGTGAGCATTAATGTGTTTGATTGATCAAGAAGTTGATATCCTGTGAAAAGAGATTACAGGGAATCTGACGTAACAGTGACTGCATCAATAACGTCAGGTTGGGTTTCATGTGGCTCCTTCCCTTTCTGTACGTAATAGTGTTACCTTTCTGAATCGCAATCATTTTTATTCACTTGGTTGTAACAAAGCAAAAAAAGGAACTCACAGAGGGAGAGAAGGACATGCAGATGTTCAGGTTTAGTGCCCTGATGTGTTTGATGACATACTTTTTCCTTCAGAGTGCATCTCTCTATCCCAGCATCCCATCTGGATCCTGTGATCTGTTGCCAAGGAAACCGATCCCGCGGCATCTTTTCTGGTGACCTGCCTGAGTGAGCAAATCAAATTATATGACATCTGTGAAAATTAAACACAGATAGATAGAAAGACAGAGAGGGCACAGAGAGAGAAAGTGAGGAAGTTGGATGCCTCACTCAGTCTTCCACACACAAACCACATCCTGCAGAACGTTTTAAACACGTCTGTGGGTGTTGTGGACTTATGGCAAATGTTTTAATTGAACATAAAAATGTCACCCTTAATGCAAATTCATCTGACTTTTTCTCCTGGACTGCAGGATCGTATAGACTTAACATAAAGTCAAAAAATGCATATGACGAGTGCTCTCACGAAGGGCTTCACAATATACATTCTTTGAAGCGTTTACATAAAAAGAAAATGTATATATCAGCCAATTTATAACATGTTTTGCTTGGACAATGATTGAACAGAAAAGTACATAAAGTATTGACAAATGCAAATCATCTATTAACCCTTTGACTTCCCCTGGACATTTACCATTTACAGTTTGGTAGCTTTAAAGAGAAAACGTATTTTTCCCGTACACCATACACTTTGAATATTTCCTCACATAGATTAAAATGTTCAACAGTCAAGTCATGGTTAAAGTTTGCTTCACTGCAGTAAAAGGAAATATTTCAACATTTCTTTTCAACTTGTAAACACATTTTCTTTATGTCAGTTTGACATTTTGGGTATATTTGGGGTCATTTTTGGGATAAAACATTACAAACATGCATTTTTTGCTGATAATCTGGTGGTTCAGGGTCAACAGAGGGAGTGAGCATTCAGACAGTTTACTGGAGGGGTTTCTTATGTACATTTGATGCAGCAGTGCCCCCTTGTGCTTTTGAGATGCCATCACACTGAATCGCGTTAACCTTGACCAGAAATAGTCCTACAATAACTTCCACAGCTCTCTAGAAGTCACATAAACAGCTTTATGTTTTGCGCTGTGTTTCTGTGAAGAAGACACCTTCATCCCAGTTGGCATAGGGGCATGGAAAAAGACACACTGAGGGAAACACATTAATAACTTTGCTGGACATTGGTAAAATAAAGCCCAAGTCATTATTTGTTCAAGACAGCTTTATTTGAAGTCATACATAACAATGCTGTGCCAAAGTAACCTGCTTACCCTCTCGTTCAAAATTGTGAAGTCCAAACAGAGCAACAGAAAACGGCAGCCTTAAGTAGAGGCTCAATCAGTGGAAACACCTGTGCTCAATTGGAGCATGGGCACGGGTGAAAATGTTCTTCCAAGTGTAAAAGTGTTATTGTTTAAGGTTTCTGTGGTCAGAAATGTAGAATATGTTGACCTATTTGATTTATTGTGTTTAATTAGTTTGAACTACATTTTGAATACGTTTGTAGATGATAAGAATAACAGTAATTAAGGGTATAACTAGTGGATTGTCCTATGGGGAGGGGCTTAACATATATAAACCTCTGGCCACAAGTGTTTTGGAGTTAGTCTGACTGTGGCTGTAGAGCAGAGAGGTACCAGTTATATTTCTTCGACCTGTATATATATATTGAGGTTTGGTTTTCTTTCTATTTTGGACTGTAGGTCCTTGTTACTTTGTGTTCTTTCAGCATTTTAATAAAAGCACTTAAGGATACATTTTTTGTGAATAGCCATCTCATTTAATTCCTAGTTTTTTCATCGACCCTTTTTGTAACAGTTTCACACACTATGACTGTCTACCAGGGGAATTTATCTGGGTGAGGAAATCAAAACAGAAGAGGCGAACACACCCTCTCTGGCGTGTCGGGGCGTATTGGAGCATAGCTGAGGCAAACAGTGGAAGATGTGTTGATCTGATTTATCTAAAGATTAGTCAATAGTGTCAGTATTTTTACTCTGCGAACAACCCAAAACATTATGCTATTTATTTAATTTAACCTCGGCTTGTTACTTTACTCCCTAAAAGTCAAAATCTCCTACTGTGAACAGTGACAATGAGCAAGTATTAAAACCCTGATTAAGATCAAAGTTAACAAGGTACTGAATCACCAACTTCCTTAAAGACAACCTTTGTATATTTGTTTGGGTTGTTCAGAGATCCTTTTTTTAGAAGTATTTTTTAGGAAGATTTATATACTCTGCCTTTTAAATCAGATGTTTTTGTAGGTGCTGTGTCAGTATAGACTCAATCCTTGAAACCATGACCCCCTAATGTTTTTAACCTCGTTATTAACTGGTTCATTTGCTAAATATTCTCTACATCTGTATTGGCTATCTGTGACATTAAATTATTCTGTTACAGAGAAAGCAGAGGATGTCAAGTTAATTATATGCACTTTTAAATATGCACTTCTGAGAAAATACACAATTGTTGTGGTTTGAGGACTTACATTTGCAAGTTACATCAATGAGTTTGGAACAATGTTCATGGTTGCACAGAGACAAAGCTCAACTGCGCCGTGATATAGAGGAATGCGGGAAATAGAGAATGACATTGAAACAAACATTGGTTTATCATCACTACCACCCTCTGGAAGAACTTGTTTTAGTGATGTTGAGCTTCACCAGGTCTGAAGGGTGTCTAGTGAAAACTAAAACCCTTGATGGTTGGTGTAATATATAGTCTTTGATGAAGAGATAATGAAAAATAAAGATAGCTAAAGATTTTGTTTGGCATTCCAGAGACTTTATGCATCTGCAAGTTAGGGTGAAAATCCAAAA